TGCTGGGCATGGCCGGTGCTGTTGGGGGGTTGCTGCAGCTGGACCCCTCGTCCCACTCTCTCGGGGGGCTCCCGTGCGCTGCTTTGCCCACGGGGATGGTGCTGGGGGACCCCCTGCGCGAGGAGCTGAGCAGGGCTCGCCGGCCGCCCACTGCCCTCACCTGCCTCTGGGCAGAGCTCGGGACGCAAGGACTGCAGCTGGGGCCCTGGAGAGGCCGGGGAGGGGGGCCATGTGTGGGGAAAAAGGAGATAAATCATCCGTTAACAGGCCGGAGGTGCCTCTGTGAGGGTGCCTGGCTCTGCCCTTGCAGGCGAGGAGGCTAGCGGGGGGCGAGCAGGGGCCTGCCTGGGGCTGGCAAGGCATGGGGGGGCCAGGCCAGCGGTGGCCCCCACCCGCATGGGTGCTCGGTACTCACTGCCATCCTTTGCCAAATGTAAATAGTGACCAATCTCGGCTGCATGTGCAGCACCACTGCCTAATAAAGCGGTGCACGGTCGCCTCTGCTCCATGGGGATCGCACGCCCACATCCCACCACCTCGAGTAGGGGATCAATGGGGCAAATTGTGAGCAGGGGGATTTTATTACACAAAAGCTCTGAGCAAATTGATTTTTCTTTCGCTCTTGCATACACTGAGACCCATGTGCCCAAGTGGTCCAGCCAGCTCGCTCTTCTGAGACACAGGGGACAAGGGATGCTGGTGGTCACGTCCTAGCTCTGTCTTTGGGACCCTTTGTGGGCAGTGATGAACTGATTTTGGACTTGCCTGTTATTCCCTGCAGAAGGGGGTGGTCTTTGGGATCTTTTGCCTTCTTGTTTTCTTTCACCCATCGTAGGTCTTAGGCAAAACCCCTGAACTTCACAGATCTGTTCTCCTCCTCTGGATATGTAGCAATTCCAGTCCTGTTCTTTGTCTTCCTGACACCTTGTCTTTGGGCCAGTGTGCTCCTTCTCTTCATTTAGCTGAAGCTACATCGGTGCTCTGTAGCATTTAATGCATACCTTGCATTTTAAACTTGTTCCTGCTGCTGCTTGCTACTCTGCCCGCGCACGTACATTTCCTCCACCCATGCTTCAGACTAAGCTCAGTCTCGCTGTTCCTCCCCTGCAGCGCGTTCCCTTTCCCCTCCGCTCCCCCAGTGGCCCTGCAGCGCTCAGCAGAGGGGATGGCAGCAGCAAATTCGCTGCTGGACCAGCAAAACCTTTTGAATTGGTGGAGCAAAGTACTTGGGGCATTGGTGGGATGTGTTAACAGTGGCTTGATGAAGGCTTTGTGAAAAGGCATCATCCTCCCCAGTGCCTGCTCCCAGGAAGGAGCTGCTCCTGCAGGTTTTCTGGGAGGGATGGAGGGGACTGGTGGGACTGTGGGGACCTTGGCATGGGTGAGTGCTGCAGCCACAGCAGGAACCCTGCTCTACCATCCAGGGCTCTGGGGTTTTCCAGACTCAGTCTCTAGCTCGGAGATCGCTGTCCCAGCTGCCCATCACGGCTTTGAGCTGCTGTGGGGACCATCGGGCATGGCCATTGTGGTCCCCCAGTGCATGCCACGGCTGGGAGGCTGCAGAAACTGTGCAGCAGTTTGAGCTCATCAGGCACCTGGTGTCTCCTCACAGCCTTGCTTGGCTGCTGGCCGTTCCCTGGTTGCCTCTCTCCATCCCAGGGAGGCATCTTTTCTGACAGAGATGGAGGTGACTCGAGATGGAGGGTTTTTATCCTGGCAGTGCCACGCCAGAGCCTGCAGAAAGGGCTGTAGATGCAGAAATCTGCAGAGATGCTCTTGGAGTGCCCTTGCTGCATTTAAAAGGTTTCAAAGGCCCTTAGCAGCCCTGCTGTGCCCTGACAGCTCCAGCCCAGAGCTCATCCCGGGGGATGCTCTGCCTTCTCTGTGGCTGCGGCTGGCAAAGCAGAGGCTTCTTGGGTCCGTGCCGCTGGAGAATGAAGGCACAGAAGAGCCTCCCCACATACTGCCTTGGTTTTTGTTTTTTTGGGTTTTTTGTGAGAAACTGGCAGGGAGCAAACTGCCTGTCAACCAGTGCTGGCTGTAGCAGTGAGCTCGCAGCCGTATGGTGAGATGCTGCCCAAGCAGCCTGGCTCCATCTCAGGGGCATCCCTGCTGAGTGCTAAGGGCTGTGAGACTTGTGTGCATCGCACCAGCTCCCCAGAACAGTCACGAACCAGCAAAACCGCTCTGAAGTTAGGCTTTGTGTCCAAGTGCTTTAGCTAAGCAGCTCTCAGTCCTCCCTGTGGCAACTACATCCCTCCTCAGCCTTCTCTTCTCCAGGCTAAAGAAGTCCAACTCCTCGAGTATCTCCTTGTACAACATGTTCTCCAGCCCTGACCATCCTAGTGACCCTCTGCAGGACTCTCTCTTTGTACTTGGCATCCAAAACTGGACGCACTATCCAGATGTGGCCTCACCAATGACAAATAAAGGGAAATAACCACTTCCTTTGACCTTCTGGCTACTCTCATATGATAACTTGGGTTGGGAGGGACCTCAGGAGGTGTCTAGTCCACTCTCCTGCTCCAAGCAGTGTTAGCGTTGACCAGAGTAAAGAAGGGCTTTTTTTTGAGAGAAGCAGAACTGCCCTACACCCAGCTAGGTTTTTTTCCCCCTTTCATAGCACTACCAGGATGGTCTGCACACCAGGGATAAAGAGGGCTGCAAATTCACTGCAGCCTGAGGACAACACCTCCAGCCCAGTGGAACCTCCAGTTCCACGTGGGCCCTCATGCAGGAGATCCAACAAGAAAGATGTAGGAGCGGCGTGCAGGACACAGAGCCATAGTGAAGAGCCAGCTTGACATCGTGTCAGGGAATGTTCATCATCTCAGATGAGGGAGAGCCAAGCAGGTCCCGGTCCTGTTTGGACCTGGGGAGGTCTCTTTTTGGGATTCCCACAGAAAGTATATGACTGTGGGTCTGGCTGGTGCATTGCATCCTCTGTTTGTGACGGGAGTTGATCAGCAACTCCCCAGAAACTTTGGATTGAATCTCTTACAAGGATATTTTATTGCTACCTTTTGCTGTCTTGTGACTGAAATGAGTGTTG